GTATCATGCATCGTGTATATATATGTACCATTCCTCTCCACGAATCATGTTGGCAACGTTTATATCCGCTGCTACAACATGTATCATGCATCGTGTATATATATGTACCATTCCTCTCCACGAATCATGTTGGCAACGTTTATATCCGCTGCTACAACATGTATCATGCATCGTGTGTATATATATGTACCATTCCTCTCCACGAATCATGTTGGCAACGTTTATATCCGCTGCTACAACATGTATCATGCATCGTGTGTATATATATGTACCATTCCTCTCCACGAATCATGTTGGCAACGTTTATATCCGATTATTGCAACTTATATCTTTGAGTAGCCATTAGGTTTTAGTTAGAACAGAACGAACGGTTCGTGTTTGGATAATAATAACACCCGTGTTGGTAAACGTCCGCGCATAACCGGAACTCACCATGACAAACATCTGTTCCAAAAGGTTCCACAGACACTGCCCATAAGTAGACATATGTTCAAAGTTTATTTCAAATGAGGTAGGAATAATGAAATTCACTTTAGTATTAAGTTGAACATAATATGTTGACAAGTCGTTCTTCAGTTCGTGTGAACACGCCGTATGTTCACCAACTGATGGTCAAAACTGCTGGGTCAACTGTAAGTTTACGGACTTACAACACTAAAGTCCGTAGTTCGATTCCCGCGGTGTGTACACTTCAGATACTCGACTAAGAATATAATAATCTGTATACCTACAACATATTTGGTTAACTTTAGTTTTAAACTAAAACATTACTATCGATAATTAGTTTTTAACTTACAAAAATCTATCATTGACTTAGTGTTTAAGATATTTCACGGTTGTCACAGGTTCTTACAAGTGTGATAAAGTTAATGAAAACGACTCGTACTCTTCTTCAAAAGCTAAGTTATTATGAGATTTTAAGAGAATTCAATTAAAATCAAGTTCGAGGAGACTGTAATTTAGGGTGAACCCAAGAGTTGATCAACTTGACCAGCAGACTTCCCCCAGTTTAGAATTAGGGACGGCTAGCGTAGCCCTTGTGTAACTTTTCACCAATCTGTATGATTTCAGGAGAACTTTACGTGGTAGGGACACTGATCCCAGATACGGTGTATCATCTTAATATCTCTGCTACTGACGGAAGACGTCTCACCAGCTATACTCCGGTCAACATCAACATCACCGACGTCAACGACCATAGACCCAAGTTCGTAAAAGCAGAATACTCATTCTCTATGAAGGAAGGAGATTATACGGTAGAGAAGTGGAAGGTGGGAACACTACATGCTGAAGATGAAGATACGGGCAGGAATGGAAAAGTGGATTACAATATAGTGTTAGCGTACGGTGAAGGTAATTGTTTCCTTGAAAATCTCATTAAATGTAGAATCTTGTATCTTAATATTATCCTCTCAACGATCGTCGCTTGTTATTAAATACCCGAGTTGTATTTCAAGCCGGTAAATATGAAACCATAAGAGTCCACAAGTCCTATCAATCTGGTAACGTTCTACATTGATGTAACTCGTGTAACACAAGTCCTATCAATCTGGTAACGTTCTACATTGATGTAACTCGTGTAACACAAGTCCTATCAATCTGGTAACGTTCTACATTGAT